TCATTACCTAGAGTATCATTTCTTTGTTTAACGGTTGTGCATGAGACGACATAAGAATATGGATACAACTCAAACAAAGATTCTTATTCTCAAGACCATGTGTCATTACCTAGAGTATCATTTCTTTGTTTAACAGTTGTGCATGAGACAACATAAGAACTCAAACAAAATAATAATCTTATTCTTAAGAGAATAACATGTGATGTAAAATGGGTTTTTAGTCAAAGGACATGAAGCTTACACCCCCTAGACTGCATTATTCAATTCATTATTGGACATTATGCTAGAAAATTTATGCATTCATATGCATGCATTACATATATACAGTCAATTCAAAAAATGTTGTCGTCAACCAACTCAAGCCTACGCGACTGGACCGAAAGGAATTCTGGGTAGCAATCATTGAAGCCGAGTTGACTCCATTATTTTATCTGACTAATTATGCCTGGTTTACAGCACGAACCTTCGTAGGCGAGCGGGAAGTGTTGAAGAAGACGTTTTTTTAATGCCCTCATATTTTCGAAATTGTGAACTGAATCATAACTACTTGGTTTTTCTTTTCCTAAACCCAAAGACATGCATTTGATGGATTGTTTCTCGCCATTATTACCTTATTACTAGCGGGAACAATTTATTCAGAACGAATATTCAATCGCTTCAGTGATTTTTACCCATATTCCTTTTGGTCCAGTCGCGTAGGCTTGAGCCGGTCGACGACAACATTTTTTGAATTGACTGTATTGACTCACCTATCATAATCTGTATCAACTTCATAACTATATTTTGATTCTATTGCTCGGTAATACCAAAATTCTGATAACACCAGAATAAATATAAACACTGATATCACCAAAGTAACTAAAATAAAGAGAAAATCCAAAATGTTAAATGTTGAAAAAAATTGGAGGTCTAACTTATACTAAAAGTGTAAAATCTATGGTTTATTTACAAACCAAAACTGTTGTCAAAACTAAATAAAACAAAGGTAAAAATATAGTGTAGAATCAATATGCTACATACATGTAATTCATAATGTACAGTAGACTGTCATCATCATCATTGCTACTTTCAACATTAACATCGCCATCATCATTTACAATCATCAAACGAACAAATAAATAAATGGGGATGTGTAGTTTCAGAAATTATCCATACCCTTCCCCCCTCCCCCACAGAGGAACTTTGACCCACCCCCTCCTAACCCTGGAAATTCCATTTTTCTTTCATACAAACTCTGTAATTTTGTTTTTTCTCTGACCCCCATCTACACATTTAACAGAGCTTCTGCTGAGGGCTCTTCTTTCAATGTAGATTCCAATTGGAATTAAGAAGTTGACTTTTTTGGAGTGAGAAAAAATTGGAGAAAAACAGCCTGAAAAAATCATCCTCTGGTCAGTAAAGTGCATTGAGATGATGTGAAAATGTGCTATGGCTATATGAGAACCTCTATTATCTGTTATTATAAAACTCATGAATAATTAATGAGGAAAACACAATAGAAACCATCGTCCGTGGAGGTTGTATATCTGATACAAAATCGTCCTGATTTGCATAAACTTTAACTCCAATTTTCTTAGCCAAATTCAATTTTATCTTTAAAATTATAGTAGAACATGTATGTATACACCTAGATGTTTCATAAGAAATATACAATATTCGTGTCCGTGTTGTATCAGATATACAATCACTCGCCTTCGGCTCGTTGTTGTATAGCTGATACAACACGGCCACTCATATTGTATATATTACTTCTTAAAGTGCATATGACACAGAAAAAACTTTTATGTTAAAAATGCGTAGTTTATTGGCATTAATAAGAATATCACAGTTAAACTTGTTTAAAAACGTATTTCTCTAGAAATTCAAGAAAATTTAGCACAAGATGTGACGTTATTTTGTTTACAAGTCTTCAGATTTAGTTGTTTGAATGTAGAATCTTAATTTCAGGTAGTACACTTTTCAGTTTCACAACATTTAAAGAGTACTACGTAAGCTATCAAATGAAGCGGAATAGAATATGCCTTTTGTTGTTATTTTATACAAATTACAATTTATATTTAGTACCTTACTACCGAATCTAAAGTATGTGTCAACAAAATGACGTCACAAATTGGGCTTAATTTTCTCAAATATCTCAAGAAATAAGCTTTTGAAACAAATTTTATTACGATATATTCATCACTACTAACAACCTTTTTTTTTTTCGGGTCATACTCTTATTTCAATAAAGTTAGTCGCCAAAATCCTAGAAAGCTGAGATCACTGAGCATCATGGGAAACTTTTCATATCAAAAAAGCATATATATACAAAGCTTTTTTTAATACAAACTGCAGCTTGATGATGATGGAAGAGGTGAGACTGTAACCGGTAAAAGATTCTCAAGTCCATGAACAGTTATCGAGCGGTTGAACGTGTAAAATGAATCTACCCATAATCCTTGTCGGCCTCAGCTTTATAGCTTTTCAGGTGACTAACTTTATTGAAATAAGTGTATACACTCTTATTATTATTTATATCATTCTGGAACCATACATAAATTAAAAAATCCATTGTATAGCAAGTATCAATAATACATATAAATAATATTCCATGATAGAAACTATATGGAAAATATAGTTTTTATACAACTTCTCTCGGATGTTTCAAAGCTTATTTCAAAGATATAAATTTAGAAATAAATAAATAATAAACTCTGACTTGCAAATTCTTTAACTTCCGCGTATAATAAAGCTTAAAAAAGCTTACAATTAACTGAGCTGCAATCTTATACTTAAATCCTTACCTGAACCACCAGATGCCGTTGTTTCTTGGTAATTCTCGGGTATTTTAGGGAATGCATCTAATTCTGTAAAAGCTTTCAAAGTCTTTTTACGATTCCTAAGAGTTCCTAAACGATGCATCTTACTGAAATATTCTCTGAATTCTGCCGTTTAACGACTCTAAATATTCTTTTTAAAATTATTATGCTTTAGACATTGGACTTTGGGTTGTAAAATTAGTTAGAAAGTTTGAAAAAGAATTGAAACAGCAGGTGAAAACACAGATGGACAAGAAGAACAACAAAAGCACTAACACGACGCCATGTTGGATTCCACGTGTACACATGCGCTGTAGCACTAATAACCTGGAGGCTTTGCGTGTGTGTGGTAACGTGAGCTGTGACAGACAGACAGTCCAGAACAATCGTTTTGCTTGGCGATAAATATATACCTGATCAAAAGATAATATATATATTTAGGCACTGCCTAAAAGCGGAGCTCCCGATACGGAAGTCACAGGGAGAACAATTTGAATGAAACTGAAGGGTAAAAATAAGATCGGGGAAAAATCTTCAATTATTTTTTATTCGAAATGATGATAATTTCTCCCAATTATAAAAACCATGCAGTGAAATCGAATCGAAATGCACTACATCGTTTTTTGTTTTTTGTTGTTGTTTTTTTTTTTTGCGCGCTACGAGTATACTCTCGCTCCCACTTAGGAATTTTGTACATAACTTACCTCCACCCCCAGGGGCTAGATTTGTTCGTGTCTACTAATGTGTGTTAGTCTAATATCTATTTCACGGGTTTAATAACTTCACTCTATTTATGTGTGTGTATGCCATTACAATGTTTTAATAAGCAAAATCTCACAAAAACGTTTACGATGTCGAGCGTTTTAAACGTAAAAAGGGTGAACTTCCACATATTCTGCCAGCTAAATGAAGTCGGGACCCCCTTTTTATTTGCTTGTTTTACTAATAGTATGATGTTCTGTCATCGTTCAAAATTTTAAAAATCTGACGATGGGATCTTTTGCCCATGAACGTCCTTAATTAACTTGTAAAATCTCTGAAATATTTTATAGTTCAGATCTTTGATTGATGGTTGTTGAAATTCTGGTCGGCGAATTAAGACATCAAACTTTACGGGTCGCACTTCAACGATAATGGTTGTAATGTAAGTGGTTTCCCATGTAATTGATACAAAAAGTTATCAGCCGGACCAAGGGCACTAGGACACCGAATGTGGTTGGATTTTTATAGTTTTTTTTCCTTTCGATTATTTGAATTAAATTAACGTTATACTTGTTTGACTTATCTTGTGTCCGTGTTCCTTCGTTCGCTGTTGTAAGGGAGCGGTCATTAATTATTGGGGGGGGGGAGGGCCGGTAAATTTATAGGGAGGGCTGCGATTTTTTGCGCCCTCCATTAGGGAGGACCAAAAAATTTTGGGTGCATGCTAGAGGGAGGGTCGCAATTTTCTGGGCCCCCATATAATCCACAAAAACCTCCTGTTCAATATGTATCCCACCTATAAGCTAGTTACAGAGTATAAGCCTCTGACTTTTTTGGTACAGACAAATTCTATTGATTTTATCAAAAACATTGGCCTTATTCAAACTGACCAATGAGCGCGCGCGATAGACTAAAAATGACAGTAGCGTGTTTTGATACTCTCATCAAACATGGTTTTCGACCAATCATAGAGCGCGTAAACGAAACATACTTTGACTGAAATTAGTATAAATAATCAGAAATAAATGACAATAAATAACAATTACTTTGCTCTTATTTGTGGCGTTTTGTGTGATATCGATAACAGTTTCACATTTTCCCTTCAAACCTTTCAATGTTCAAAAAGTAGCCCGAGGCAGGGCGGGAGTAGGTCACACAGATCAGCGTCTAGTTGTGAATATATTGAAATTATCGAACGCATATTCACGACATTGAATATTGACACATTTCGGCAACCATAAAGGTGTCTGTTGCTTTCATTTTGCCTCATATGATTGATTTCGCGGAAAAAAACAGCAGCCGTATATGATAGCTTTTGCCTTCTTTTTATGCTTCTGCTTGTGCTTATTTTACCTTATGTCATAGTGAGCGACATGTTCTTATGCTTATGCTAATGTCATAGTGAAAACCACGCTTTAACTTTATAATAACATATAAGACTCGTGGCGTCTGACGAAATAATGGAAAGTCTTTCGTTTACGGCCAATGTTATCAGCTTCATTACCGCGTAGTATTTAATGACAAATTCATGTATATATCAGTCTTATTAACTAAAGACACTGAAAGCCGTATTTTCCTTTAGCCTAATGGATTAGTTTCGAAACTAGCTCAGGCTACTTTGCTACTAACCCATGCGTTTTACTTTTTACATCTGTTAAATTATGTATGTTAACAAAATGCGACAGTTTGATTCGCTTTCGGACCGATTTGACGAACGGTTGCTGAGGAGACTAGCCATGAGTGAGCTAATAAAACATCTAGTGAAAAGTTAAAAGGGCATAAACTCAGTAACTTATGGAGTTTAGGCTGCGTTCATTATTCCCACTTAATGTAAAAAAAATTATGCCCCCCTCCTTTAGCAGGAAAATTTGTACCCCCCCCCACCTATATACCTAAATACAAACACTTCTTTGTCCTAATACCTACACATTCCCCCTTGAAAACCTTAAAAAGTTTATGATCCCCCCTAAATTTCTTCTGCCACCCTCCCCCCTTCTGCGGTATACATAATGATGAACGCAGTCTTACGGTGGCATTGAAGTGGAAACGGAAAGAAAAATGGCGCATCAGTGCTCAAGACTAGTGATCATAGCGCTAGCATTCATTCTTCTTTCTCAGCTGTGTATCGTGTATATTCTCTTGAATATAGCGAATTTCAGGAGTATTAGTGTCAAGAAAAGTTCTTCCTTGATACCTGTATCTCAGTGTAATTGCAATGACAAAATTCATGTGATTCAGGGCTTACAACAGAAGCTGAAGCGTCTTCAAGAACGACTGGATATGGAAATATTAAGTAAAGAATCGATAAACACGACAAACAAAGACATTGAAACCACAAACGAAAAGTATGCCAAACGAGGAACAGTGTCCCTTCCACGACCTGAGAAACACGACTTAGCCAATAACATCGAGCTGTTTGCTAGATTTGTGACCATAATACTATACAAAGGAAACAACAACGTACCCTCTTCATGCGTTGAAGTCAGGCAGCAAGCTCTTCTTCGTTCGTTCCCAAAGATTGAAATACTATTCTCACTCAATAGTTCTACTGTTGGATCGACATTCAACTCGCTCATTCAAAAGGTTCGTACGAAGTATTTCTTGTTTTTAGATTGCCAGCATGGATTGTTTCCTCATACATCCGACCACAGCTCTGGTTGGTTGTTACATGCACTGGAAAGCATTCCCGAGCTAGACTTTGTGAGTGGGTCTATTTTGACTGGTGACCATCTTGAAATCCCATGTTACCGTTTGATATTGTGTAACTGGACCTTATCTCAGAGATATGAATATCAACGGTCCATCGGTGAACTTATGATCTGTGAGAACATCGGTGCTTCATTTATGGGAAGAACGGCTAGTATTAAGCGTTTATTCGTTGATAAAGCACATGCTTTTGATGACAAGATGACAGCGTTAGCAACTACCGATTTCTTCATTCAAGTTAAGAAAGGAGGTGCGCTGAGTGGTGTACGTCCAGAGGCAATCCACAAAGTCTGCCAAGACAGCAAGTGTAACTCTAATATGACTATCAACGCGCGTGACTATTTCCTAAAACACCTTCCTTTTGCCCATAAACATAAAGTGTTTCGTTTTAAAAATTCCGATTCTGAAACACTTGACCTGTGCAGTCGCGACAGTCCTATACTTGGTGAAGACATTTGTGATGAGCCCACAGCCCACAAAGTGATGCTGGACGGCGGACATTGGGCACATCAAGGAACATTTRCTTACCCCTTCATGGTAAATAATTTACAGTCTTGTTTATTYATAGTAGCGGACTTTTTAGAGTCCGAAGGAATCCCGTACAGYATTGATGGTGGGGTTGCTRTTGGTGCAGTCAAAATGCGAGGTGTAYTGCCCTGGGATTCAGGAGACATCGATATGTTTGTGYTTTATAAAAACAGAAATGCCTTTTACGAAGTACTTGCCAAATTTGCTAAGAAGAAAAACTTCACTTCTTTTAATACTCACAAGGAAGCCATTGAATTTTTTTGTTATCCTCCAAATATTGCATGGAAAGTTGGTGGTATCGTGACTATTTATGTTCACAGTGAGAAGATGGGGAGTGTTATGAAGGTCAAAACTAATGGCAGATGGATCCCGTACATGCAAATATTTCGTTATCTCAGACGGTATTACAGTGTCACTTATCTACAGAATAAAGGACTTTCTGGCGAACTAATATACTGCAAGAAAGAGGGCCACAATGCCTGCTTGCCTGATTTCAGAAAACTTGAAAAATATGGGAAAACCGGTACCTTTAAGGAATTTTTCTGTGAAACTTAGTCGTAGGTTTATTGTAAACTGACTCAGGAACCCTTCTGTGAAACCTTGGCGTGGTTTTTTTTGTAAACTGACTTAAATTTTCCGACGTTGTTTGCCAAATTTATTTTCTGAACTTTACGTCAACCATGTTGTCAGCTGAGTTTGTTCTCTTGCAACTTATGATGAATATGACGACATTTACTGTCGATAACACAAATGAGCCATAATTTTGGAGAAATGTGTATAAAAATATGTATAAATTTGACTTTCCAAATTTCTTGATAAATGGACTTGACAAAATGCCAAAACTTAAAGTCAATCCTTGAAAAAACTCAAGGCTAATTTTCTGATATTGTCTTTAATATAGTATCTCGATCTCATAAAAGTATAATGGCGAACTAAGTAATGTTTATCGTTGAAGTGCGACCCGTAAAGTGTGATCAGGTGTATTAAGGCCTGGTAAATAGTTTCAAAATATCCCCCGCGAAGCTTTTTCCTTTGCTGGCAAATCCAAGATGGCGGATGCTTAGGGATACACGCGGCCGAAGATTCAAAATGAGATTCGAAGCGTTGTTTGCTATGAAAGGTATTTTTCTTTCTTGGTTGTACAAAGCT